ACTCGTACGCTCCCCGCGTACGGTACACCAGTAACGCTGCCCGCCTGCAACCAGCTACGGATGCGTACTCGTACGCTCCCCGCGTACGGTACGGCAGTAACTCTGCCCGCGTGCAACCAGCTACGGATGCGTACTCGTACGCTCCCCGCGTACGGTACGGCAACAACGCTGCCCGCGTGCAACCAGCTACGGATGCGTACTCGTACGCTCCCCGCGTACGGTACGGCAACAACGCTGCCCGCGTGCAACCAGCTACAGATGCGTACGATCCCCGCGTACGGTCCGGGAGCGACGCCCCTCGCGCGCTGCCAGTACGGTCGTATCTCGACAGCAGCTACGGCGCCGATGACCACACTGTTCGTGAGAGTCGGCTGCCGAGCGCTGACGCCGCCAGGAACTATCGCGATCCCGCCCGCAGCGGCTACGGGGCGAACTACGGCAGTCGCGGATACTCAGTCAGATCGGAACATGAAGGCAGAATGGTGGATGGAAGATGTACGTGTGCGTAGAGGGAAATATATTCGTGGACTCTTTCAATTGCTCGTATTTATTTTGTGTGTCAATGATTACGTTGTGATGTTTAGGAACTCCCAGAAAATTTATGAAGATTATGTCGTTAGTCTGTACAGGCATAGTAGATTTGTTTGCATTGATAATTAAGTGGGGTCCGTTCATAATTAGTAGTTAGGACATCATTAGTCTAAAATATAACTTGTATTTATAAAGTAATAACTTCTGAGGCAGAGTGTCGTGCAAAAGTTATGACAATTGAGATTTATGGTGTCATAATTATTTATTATGTTTCTGTCAACGGTTCCCTTATTTTTATGGTTTGATGGGAATTAATTGAAATGTACGGTAGGTGTGCTAAATGAAATTAACAAGATAGCTGTAATAAGATAAGCCGTAGCAAATTATTCGATGACAGTGAGAAGAAGAGTGAAAGAAGCAAGCGAGGAAAACCTGTATAATTCGATGAAAGTAAATCGTATGTGATAAACAACAAGATCAAGCGTGTCCATAGCAATGAGTGTCCGTATGATTGCAATATATATTTTACGAGACAAATTCGACTAGCGCAATTGCCGCTTTATTTCAAGACTTAAACATACTTTATAAGTAAATATTGTGTTGAAATTAAAGTTTTATGAAAGTTGCCTTTTACACGTGTAATAAAGACGGAATTTCTCATTAGTTACATTTTTTCTGTTATATATTTACGGTTTCCTATATGATAAAGAACTTAGCGACTTTAAATTACCGGTTGGATTTAAGTGCTATTTCATTTTTTTTTTTTTTAAACCTAACACTCTAACAGTTACATGTATTTTACGGCACATGTATTATTTATACGTATTTTCAAAAAAGAAAAAAAGTAATGTGAAGGCAAAAGAAATAGTCGTATCTTAAAATTAAACGTTTAAGTAAGGGAGCATATATCCACAAGTAGTTTGACATGATATATCATTATTCGAATCTCTCAATAATAATCATAACACTTAGTTGTACCTTATTTTCTTTCCTCTTGAATAATTATAAGGTGCCACTTTTCCCTGGTTGAGTAATAGCAATTATATCTAAATCAACAACAGATGGCGATATGTGTCGTACATGACAAATTTTGCCATATGAATGAATGAATGAAATGAATAAAATATTATATATTGTTAAATTGTACTTTTATTAAAAGGGGACATACCTACCAGTCACCTTAAAAATCTGTGGATTCCTTGTCGAAATAAGATTTCCTGTAGCAAAGCGAGAAACTTGTCCCCCAGTCCAGTAGCTGCCCGGTATCTGGAAGATACCTCAGGCATCTATTAAAGCCGCACAATGCGCATCCAAACGCTAATTTCTCCAGTACTAGACTAGCAAATACTTCGTGTCATGCATAATCACACTAATCCATATGAAAAAATAAACTCTAGTTGCTCCCATTTCACTGCGCGTTTGCTTAAACC